TAAATAATCATGCGGCCGTCATCTTTCACTTCATATTTTTATCTTTTTTTTTCTTAGGTTTTTTTTTTTTAATTTTTTTTTTTTTTAAATTCCAAAAGCTTATTTTTGGAGAATCTGGTTAAACGTTTCCAAAGTTTGTATGCACTGTAAAAGTTAAAAAGAAGAAAGAAACAAATGCACTTCTCCAATATTGAAAAACATTGTGAGAATTACCGATTGAAGTAATTGAAGGTTAAAAATAAATCAACTTTATTTTTATTTCAGTTCACACAAAACATAGAACATCAGATGAGTTGTTGGAGCAACGGCTGATTTTCCTTATTCAAATAGATCATATAATGTCAAATTATTACACTCACTGGTATTTGTCTAAGCCTCACTATGCAAAACAGTGCTAAACATACATTTTTATTTACTGAGTTGTTGGAGCAACGGCTGATTTTCCGTATTCAAGTAAACAACAATTGTATAAATTGAACCATAGCAAAACAAAATACTGGGAATATAGTTTTTCTTTTTTAAAGATCTGAAATACCTTTGTAACTCTCTTTAACAATGTAATCATAAAATATATAATTTTTGTCTTTGCAAAATCAATTAGAAAACTCTTGGATTTTGCTAAAAAGTGGCTACAAGTTAGCATTACATTAGCCAAGAGGCATAAAAAGTTATTAAGACTCCATATGAACAAAACATTTAACAAGAAGCTTAATTTAAGAAGAAAGAGCAAATATTCTAGCTGTAGTTACATACAAAACTAAATAAAAGCTGATCAAATTGGCGCAGAAATGAAAGATAATGCCACTGTAAACAAACAGGAAAAAATAAAAACCAATAATGACCCTACCTTAAACAGAGTGTGAGCACAAACAAACATCCTGGACCGTGATGTCTTTCAGCTCTCGTTGGTCTCACGCTGGTCTGTCTGCGACCGCTTTAGTCCAGAGCATAAATTGACCAAAGATCTAAGAGTGGGCAGACAATTAAAACTAACATACCAGTTTCCCACTTCCTGTGACCTGAGTGTCTCCAGGTGATTAAAATCTTCAACCTCTCACGTGTGTAAATCCCCTAAATACTCAGGATCTGGTAGAGTAAAAAAAAACTTTTTTTTTGCTTGTGTATCTGTCGTGTTTTGTGCCTTATAATCAACAGAGAGTAAGAAAGTCACAACAGTGCAGTGGCAGGACAATGGTCTGGATTTAGACCAGAACATGAGTTCATGTCCAGAGGCAAAGGTCTTAAACATAACAGTGTCGTTCTCTGCATGATTAGGTTTTAAGCTGTGGATATTTATTCCACAAGGAGATTTCCATATCTGTTTATCCCTTCAATCCACCTGCATCTATAAATAATAGAAAAACTAATCCAGAGGAACAGGCCTGTTCTGTATTCAGAAACACCAGCAGCCAAATGAGGCAAACGCTGCTCTATGATTCCTGTTGTCCCAAATGGGATTAAAGTACTGATTTCACTCAATGGAAGAGAGAGTGTGTCATAATTTGTGTGTGTGTGTGTGTGTGTGTGTGCTTGGCACTGGATGTCTGACGAGTGCATTGATTATCAAATAGCACAGTTACTTATTCTATCCAGTTTCACTTTGCAAAAAAAAAACCCAAACTTTGAGTCTTTAGAGAATTTCCCCCAAACCTACTCACTTCTGATATCTTTCTTTATTTACCGTCTTTCTCCCACATCTGGATCCTGGCCTCTGGAGCAGCATGCAGAACTGAACAAGCTTGGCTGTGGCTCAGCCAGCTCACAGATTTATGGCGCAGGCTTAGAGCACTCTGCTGTGTTTGGGATTGCGTTGCCCTTCACTGTCCCACTAAGAGCGCCGCGTTCCCCCGGTCATCTGCTTCCCCTGGCTTTCAATCCGGCCTCTGGCTCGTCGGAGGAAAACTGTCCGCCTCCTTCTTCCTCTCTCTGTCCGCTCCTGTCACCGCCACGAGACAGTGAAGTAACCTCCAGGTCATGCGGCTGCTCTGGTTACTGCAGCGTTTGGACTGAAAGGTGGTGAAACCAAACAACAACCTGGTTTGGAACCCTGCCACCAGCCTGTATTTTCTTTCTTTTCATTTACATTTTATGCAAGTGGTTGTAGGATTTCTCTCCGTACACCGTGGTACCTGGGCCACTCCACCTGCTGGGTGACAGTATGGCTGCTTAAAGAATGCCGACTGTGTTTGATACGCACAGAAGAAGAGACAAATGTTGGACTGACAAGAATAACTTAACAGAAAGAAATTGACTTTAAATAAATCAAAAAATTGTTTCCTAGAGCAGAGACTTTTTTTCACAGTATTGTTGGAGGCGTACAGCTGAGATAACTAACTGCTTAGTGTGGCAGGACTTGGACTGGGAGGTGGGCTACATGTTCAGTAGCGCCCACCTTTGGATTTTTAGCAAAAATTCCTTAAAAAAATTCACTTTTAAGCAGCATATAGATGGACCTACTTCAACACTGCATGTAGTATTTAATATACCTGGAAAAACAGAAAAGGTAAAAACAAATTTATGATGATATATTTCACATGAGCTGTCGTTACTCTGCGTCGTTTATTTTGATTTAAATGTTAAACTCTTCACTTTTTGATCTGGAATAATAATGATATTTAAATTTAATCTTTTCTGCGACAACACTTTAAGAGTGCGGGGTGAAGGGAGGAAGGGGCAGAATTCTGGATCATTTTCTTATAATGATAACAAATAAAGCTGTTTATCATCGAGGTTGAAGGATTTGTAAGTGGAATATCCACTGATGTTTTGACATGAAATATTGAGCAATGAGTTTTCATGGCATTAACATCTTATTTTAATAAAATTGAATAATGCTTGTACCGGTGCCGGAGGTCATGGTGACTTTTTGATCATCACGACACGTCTTCTGGCTCAGATATCTGTCTCTTTCTGAAGTTCAGGCTGCGAGACCTTTTCCAGTTTTCCATCTTGTGATGTGCTGCACTTCCCTTCCCAATCTTCGTCTCTCGACTCATCTTCACCCAGGCTTCACCACGGTAGTTATTAAAATTCTCTGGCCTGATGCTGAGTTTGCACGATCACAAGTCTGCATACGATGTGTTGTAGACTCTGATAGATTTCTATACTTGACGTTTTCTGGCATTAGGAGCCAAGAACACTGAGCTGACTCAGCACATAGTTTAATAATTGGACCTTTTGGCTCTTTTCCTACGACACGTCTGTTTAGATGGACAGGTCTTGGATCCTTTTTGGGAGTTCACTGTGTATTGGACGAGGACGTTGCCGTTTGTATATGCTGCTGTAACAGGGCATGTGAAAGCTGCCAGACCTTCAGGTTATGTGAAACTGTCAGAGGTCACTCAGAGGAAGGTCTGTGCACTTCTCTCTGCCTGATACATAAACCTACTGACAGGCGGCTGGAAAAACAAGCCTGAGAGAGAGAGAGAGAAGGAAAGAAAGAGAGTGAAAGAGAGAGAGATGGAAAGTAGGGTAAATGTTAAAAGAGGGAAACAGCCAGTCCAGTGCGCCCCACCCAGGTTTCGACCTATAGCTTTCTTTTTATGCTCCTGACACAAAGATGTATTATGCAAACATTACCTTTCCCAAAAATACATATTGAAACAATTTTTGGACAAACACGGCAGACAAAGTGAGCGTCCTGCACTGTCACGGGACGTTGGAGCTCAGGGCGGGCCACTGGGGCTGCAGCGAGAGCAGCCAGTGCATTAGTAGTCTCGCTTCAGGAGCCCTGAAAAGGTGAGCAGGTCTGGGCGGCGGCGGGGGCCGTCACACAAGAGAGACGGACTGTCAAAGGAGAAACAAAAAGGAGGCAGAAATGATGAAGAAGCTGTCACAGGCTCCGTGCCTGCTGGTGTACCTGCCTGCTGTGGAGCCAGGCTGCGCAGAGAGTGAGAGGACTGAGAGTGTAAACAGTTGTAAACACACTGCTGTGAGCGTGCACTACATCTCACTCTACAGACAGGACCTGGTTCTGTTCTCGTCTTCAGTCTTTAGGTTATTTCCTGATCGTAGGTTGGGTTGAGTTGGGTTGTTTGAATCGATAACAAAGAAAAACCTTCACCTTGTATTTAAGAGCTTCCTTCCTTTCTTTTCTGAGATCAATTTTGTTTTAAATTATCAGGAGCTAAAATATCCTTAAAATAGCCTTTAAAAAGCTAAATGTTAGCTTTGGCTAAATGTTAGCTAGAGCTAACATTTACCTGTAGCTGCTATGTTTTTAGTTTGGAAAAAACCCCCACATATATTTAGATTTTCATAGGTTTGTCATGAATAATTCATTAAACTGGCTACACTACTACAACACCTTAATCCTTTTGCATCATTTTAAACTATTTTGCTACATTTTAGTTAACATTTAGCTCTTGGTAATTGTTACTATTTGTATACATCAATATCCTTATGGCATATCGTTACCAATTTTTGACCTAACTTTAACAATGGTCTTTAAACTATTTTCTGAGTGAATGAATGAATGAATAGGGTGCAGTGACCTCTGAGCTGAGGTCACACCCTGGCCTGACCACAGGCAGCACTTTAGAAACCCAACTGTGTGTTTCACTCCTTTGTCAAAAGGTTCATACATCAAAATAGTATTCTGCACTCTGCAGGCTAATGGCGGCAGCGCGTCCGTGGCAGGTCTGCGGCAAATAGGCATCACATATTGATCAAGTGAAACCACCGAGGCTCAGAGAACTGCCTCCACATATTTGCTCTGGAACCTCAGCCGTGTTTGTCCGTCAACAAAAGGTCGACCACATATTTCATCCCTCACAAAGCAACGCAGTCCCTGGACCTGAGAAAACTGTGGATTTGACACACATTCGAGTGCATGTTTACACACACACACACACACACACACACACACATAGAGAGTTGCTGCTCCACCTTCAGATTCATGTCCTCCCCTTAAAAAACCAAAAAGTGATGAATGTGTTTTTCAGTGAGGACTTGCATTTGAAACTCAACATCCATCCCTGTCTCCTCTCTTTTTTTCTCAGAGTGAAAGGTATTCTGGAGGGAGCCGACAACGTCGCCCTGCTGGACAATTTACTGCCCCTCTCTGGGAATTCCACATGATCCAGGTATGGGAATGGAGAGTGGGAAAAGCCTCAGTGGTGAACTGGACCTGGCAGTTTTATCACAATTGTCAGATAAAACAGTATCTGCAGCTTTAAAACCACATGACATACACCGAGGTCTTTAACAAGAAGCACTTTAGCTCGTTCTCACGTTTGTGTTTCTAAGAGAATTCTGCACAAACACATTCATTCATGTCATTAGCACGGCCAATAAAAGTGCACGCAGGCCCAGAGCTTCTTCTGGAGACTTCCTTTTAAAATAACAGCAGCAAATCTGTGTCGAAGTCTTCTTTTTGTTATAAATTCACTTATAAAAAAAACAACCTAAAGTGATTCTATTGATGCTGTTTTCTTTGTTAACTCTCTCACAAGTGAGTAGCACATCTACATTTAGGATTAGAGATAGAGTTGTCATCTCTTGGAAAGATTAAAGACCTTCCTCATAATGGTATGATTAAAAAAGCTAATAAAATTTGATCTATGACAGAATTCCTGCCAGATGCGCATTCTTGTCCAGAGAAGAAAAACCAAAGAAACTGACACCATCACCAAACATTTTTGAGAAACCACTGACTTTTTACAAATGATTCCAGACACTGGAAAAAAAATATGACCTTTTTAACACAAGTCGAATTTTGTGGTTGTCAAATTAGTGGTGGTGGTAGTTTATCTGTGAGTCAGAGGCAGATTATTTTTCAGTTATTTAAAGTAACAATGAGTCGTTTTGATTAAAAAAAACAGGGGTTCCTCCTCTTGAACAGCTGTCCAATCAGGATGCAGAAGCTCAGCTTCCTCATTTGCTCGCTGCTTCGTAGATACTTTTTTTGTATTTTTTGATTTGCCATTACTTTACTTTTCCACATCAACCCATGAAATGAAGCTGAGCTTCAACATGGTTTAATATGTAAAGAAAAAAAGACTGACCTATTAACAGACAGGGCCAAACATTTGGATGGGTTGTGGGTTCAATTCCAGATTCGTTAGGTAGGTCGCAAAACCTGTAGTGTAGCGCTTTGATTGTCCGCTAGGACTAGAAACGTTCTTTACAAGTACTTGGCATTTATCAAAGACTAAAGAATGAAAAGAGAAAACAGAAGCAGAGGGCAGTGTGGGTGCTGATGAGCACGTCACCATACACTTCTAGTGATCTACACTGTATGTTGATGTATGTACGTATGCTCTCTTTCTCCCCCTCACAGTCTGACGTTCAGCTGCTGGATGGACCACGTCGTCTCCTCTTCGTTCTTTCCCATGCTGATCCAGACGCCCAGACACAGGTGGATTAACACAGGTATACACAAACACATGTCCACACAGTAGCCTGACCCAGGAGGCTGGGTTAAAGAGCAGCTACGAGGGGGCGGGGGGGTGGGGGGGGGGGGGGGGGGGGGAAGAGGACGACCCGCTCCTGGGACTCTGCTTATCCTCAGTCAGGAAAGAATGTTTTCCCACAGCGTGGTCCACATAAACAACCTAGTGTACGCCGCCATGTTGGACTCTTATCTGATGATGGAGCTCTCCATAAAAAGTGGAGCTGAACTCAGTGAGAAGAGGTCACATGTTGGACAGTCACGTGAGCGGCTGCAGATGTCTTCACATCTGTTACGCTCGGTGTAGACTCGAAGCCTCTGTAGTCGTTCTCTCCTGTTCCAAAAGTAGTCGAAACAGGAAAAAAGTTCACATTTTCTACATTAGGGTCAGTATTGAACAGCTGTCGCTGTTACTAATATTTTATTTTAACCAAAATAATTGGTATAAATCTAATAAATGTGTCTTTAGTGTTATAAATTTGGCTAATTAAAATAATTGAACTGACTTTTCCTTTAACTAATTTAAGGTGTGCTCTTAGCAGCCAGGTGTTGGCTAACTTTTAGCGATCTTTCTGGCTTCTTGACTGAATTTCAGTTTCCAAATTTTTTGGCGAACTTAAACCTTTCTGTGCTGATCAGTTTTTTGGGGTTTTTTTTGCCAATCTTTTAGACAATTTTGGGCTAAGAGTTAGCTGGCTAATTAATCTGGTCTGTAACTTTTCATTTATGTTTTGACATTTTTGGTTTATGACTTTGTTCAGTTCGGAGGAGGTTTGTTGTCAGGGAACAGCAGTGGGTTTTGGTTTAGAGAAGGAATGGAAAGGACTGTTGAAGTCACTGTGACAACTTTATTACTCTACGGTAATGTCACCACACATCCCATAATAAGCACCTCTGCTTCAGAGACTGACAAGTGTTGATTGTTTTTGCTGGGAACATAATTCATTGAACGCAGGCTGTAATTTAGTACAGCGTGGGTTGTGTCTGAGTGAGTGTTTTAAAATGGAAGACTGAGGTTTGGGGTTTGATTACAGGCTGTGCTATTGGCCGATGTGCCCTTGGGCATGACTTATAAGCTGAGCAGCGTTAGCCACTAATAGACCACAGTCCCATGCAAAGAAAGTTCTTTTTCAGCTACAGAAGAGTAAATCAAAAAGTTCTTAGAAAAAACAATATTTTATATGAAAAAATAAAAAGGTATTTCTCTTCATATCCTTCATTCAAAGCTAAATTTCGGTTTGAGAATTCATGCTCACTAGAACAACCTACTTCTTTTAGCCTTGGAAAAAAAAAAATCAAGTGGAGCTAGATCAAACCGTTTACAACGCTTGGTTTCAAAAAAATTCACAATTGTTATTTTTCCAAACAGGAAACCTTTGGTAGTTATTTCATCAACTCTTGACTCACCCTCATATTCATTGATATTGATATTCTGGCTTTACACTAAAGTCACTTTTCTAAAAGGTTCTGTTTCTCTGTGTGTGCGGTCTGCGATCTTTTCAACAGTTTCATTTTTCCAAGCGTCTTTTTGATCTCTGCCCTCCTTCACGTTTTATTGGCTTCTTCTGACTTCCCTGTCCTGCCTCTTCCTCCATCTCGTTCCTCATGTTCTCCACTGTCTGACATCTGCTGCGCAGAACAACAGACAAACTCGTTCCAGGAAGAAACACTAGAATCAGGCTTCAGTCTTGGAGCAGGTGTGTGTGGTTTTCGTTAGACCCTCGTCTTACGCTGTGCAAGACTGATTCAGTTCTGATTGTTTAGAGAGTCCGGCTGTGGCAAAGAAAATCACTCCATCACTTTGTGTGTCTGTGTGTGTGTGTGTACATGCATTAGCTGTGTGTGAGGGAGATTTATCAGACCAAATATCAGAAGGCTAATGGACTTCTCATTCAGGGTTGACCGATATTGTTTATGCAGATGACACAGAGTTGTGAAACTGTTTAGTGGTAAAAAAAACTAAACTAAACAAAGAATTGTTCAGCTGTTGATTCAGACTCCTCTTCAACACAAGACACATTATATTAGAAATGTTTTAGTAATAGAAAAAGAAGACTTGGATTGGATGATGCAGTTCTCATTCACATGTACCAATGACCTGGCCTCGTGTACTGTATTTGCTGTTGCTGGTCATGATTTATCGTTTGTTTTTATCCAAGTAGACTCAAAGTTGATCACTTTGGCATCAGGCTCCAAACAAAACACCTCAGGTTCTCCAGTGAGACCACAAACTGATGACATTAGATATTTACAGTCATTCATATTGGGGGGAACTTCAATAACCAACAAAGCATTTGGATCTTCTCCATTGTCAGACTTTATCCTGTGTGAATTACTGCAATAAGTTCCTATGTAAAAAGATAGATATTGACAACAACCTTCACTCTACTGAAAATGATTATTTTTTCTTATGACTCATGTGGGACCAGAAGAAAATGATCATAATTCTCTCATGTTCTGTCTTGTGTAAAACTATAATTTGCTGTTGGATCTCAGCTCCCTGATCCAGACTTGATTTACCCGCACCTTAAAGAAGAAGGAAATAATGTTTAGTGCTGCAATTAAAAAAAAAAAAAAATCCCAAATACAAGGAAATGTATCAGAGCTGATGGAAGAACACAAATTGTGAAACACTGATTAGCAATATTTGAGAAGACTTAAGCTGCAGACGGAAACAGTAGGAGCCGGAGAGAGGAGGTGGGAGGGTGTGTCGCGTCAGGACGAGGAGTCTCTCCTCAGGTTGGTCTGTCCAAACACGACCCGTGTTTACCTGTGAGGTTGTTGCTTTTGTCAGGGCTTCACAACACCACACACACACACACACACACACACACACACACAAAAGAGATGGAGCTTTAGCTCTTCTTCAAGCAGGACCACCAGTGTGGTGTGTGTGCACGTGTGAGTGCACGTGTGTGTGTGTGTGTGTGGAGCAGAGAAAAGCTCAGGTTTGTCTTCATGTTTGTTCAGTTCAAACGTCTTCATGAATCTGTCTCCGTCTCTGAAGTTGCTGCACGTTCTGTTTTAAAAGTGGATTTTATAGCTAAATGTCTGCATGTGTGTGTGTGTGTGTGTGTGTGTGCGTACGTGCATGTGTGTGTTTGACCCTGAGTGTGTGTTGTGTTTGTTGCTGGGAGGGTTTGTATACAAATGCAAATACGTGTGACTAATTCATTTTCGGCAGCGGCAGCAGACGCTAAAGAATTAGGTTTCGGGTTGGGGTGTGTGTGTGTGTGTGTGTGTGTCTGTGTGTGTGAGTGTTAGCAAAGGTGTGTGTTTGTCTGTGTATATAAGTTAGGCTTTGTGTGTGTGTTGCAATTGGAGCATTTAAACAACAACAATAGCAACGTTGTCTCACAGATCGTAGCAGTTGTAGTCGTGTGTTTCCAAAAACAGTTTAAAATAAAACGTTTCAGTCGTTGTTGTTCAACTTCTTACCGTCTGTTGTTACTGCACATTTGTTAATTTCATTAAACTGAGTAAATTAACTCTCATTCAAACCTTTAATTAAATGTCTTTCAGTATTTGTTCTGTCAACACACAGAACAAATATTCATCAATTAAATCAGGTCAGTCCTGTGACTTCACAACGATATATTTGCATTTGTCAAACCAGAAGGTATATCAACAACTGTGTACTGTACAATGTAGGATTTTATTTGAATAATAATAATAATAATAATAATAATAATAATCTAATGCAGGTTTGTTTTTATTGAATTTCTTCCATTTTGACAGCTAACTGTTGCCTCATTTGTTCTTCTTCCTGTGGCTGTTTTAATCAATGATGGCTAACTTTTGGCTTGTTGTTTCTTTCTTTGCCTCATTTGGTCAAAGGTCATCCTTCCATGTCATTGCTCAGAAACCAGTCGTAGTAATCTGGCTCGTGTTAAAGAACGTTTACATCCTTGAATACTTCTCAACAGTAAAACGAAACCATTTGAAATGTGTTTATTCTGCAGGTTAATTCTCCAAATTGCATTCACCGACTTCAGGTCATCATTAAGCCCCTGAATTACACAGTACAACACAATACTCTTTTCAGGCATTACGTTGTTTCTAATAGGAGTAAGAGACCATGTTGGATTCTTCACCGAGAGGCAGGACTGAGTCACGGGGAAACGTCACCATTCCAGTTATGTCTGACTTTGCGGAGATTGCAACAGGACAGGAAAGATTTAGCTGCTGCCGCTGATGTGACAGCGTGTCCTCGTACGTGACGAAAGTGTGTGTTTGACACATGACTGTCTACCTGTGTGGCACTGGTCTAAAGCCCCCGTAATCTCTGTTTGTCCGAGTCTGAGAACTCTAATGCTCTGACTCATTCCTGGGACGGGAGTGCTAAAACCCAGAGCACTCAATCCATCACAGAAATCAACAGTCCCCGCTGCAATTTAGCAGGCTAATCCCCCGAATGCCAAATTAATATGTTAAGTATAGGTGTGATTAAATGATATGAAAGAGGCCTGTGGAGGCTGCATGTTTGCCCAGTGCTCTCATCTGCACTGAGTGAGTGTGAATATGAGGCAGTAATCCCACAGAGCTCTGCCTTTTCATTCGTTCAGAGCTGCGTGGGCGACGCTGCGGCATCTTCTTTCATGGGAATTAGGTTGATTGGAGGTGGCGCTCTTTCCTCTTGACGTGCCGGAAACACTAACAATGTAGCTCTGTTTAATTTCTACAAAGTGGTTGCTTTTGCCATCCAAAGGGAAAAAAAAGTGAGAACTTCTCAATAGCACATCCACTGGCCACTTTTATAGTTACACCTCCGACTTCCATCCTAAATATACCTTCCTGTTCCCATGCGTCCTATATTTCTGTCTCCTCTTCTTTGTATCTTTTTCCCATCTACCTGCCTAACCCTCCTCATTTCCCCCTGTCCATCCGTGACTTCCTGTTTCCATGTGAAACCAGCTGCACTGCTTTCCCCCTCAGCCTCGGAGAGTTTTGCAGAGTGTAAAAGCAATACCCAGCTGGACATATTTCACATGAGCAGAAATGTAATTCAGAGTTTACAG